CAAACGAAAAAAAGACCCACTGAAAAATTCTTACGTGTGTGTGTATAATAAGAGGATTTTAATTTCTTTACCTTTAATTGGTCACATGGAGTTTATTTAACCTCAGTTTAGGTTGAAATAGATAAAAACCCCAGGCTCTGGTCAAATTGATAGAAGATGAAAGATGTGACTAATTAATGATTAATACTTCCACTTGGTAATTATGGGATTTTCATATGTAGAACTTAAGTGAAATATGTAACCTGTACACATAGAATCTACTTCCCATAGTATTGAACTATATGCTGAAGATTATTTGCACGGTTACGTGTAAATAGTATCTTATACAAGACGATTCTTACAATATGTCATAAATCGGTGGCACTTAGTTGCCATTTTGTTCTTCAAAGAATTGCCATTAACTATCAACGGTACTGTCCCTACTTTTAAAACTATGTGTCAAGATAGATTGTAAAATGTATGATCTAGCATTCCTATTGGCGTGCCTTTGCAACTCGTCTTTGCTCTGTATGCTGGAACTCAATGACAATGACTAATTGTTTGTAATATTTAAAATAAATCTTAGAGAATAATACGCGTTTAAGATGGTTAACATTGTATCTCCGAAACTATAGTCTGGTTTAAAAACGTTTCAGAAATTCAATTATCTTACATTTATGTTTCCATTTAAAATGATAAATAAGTACTGCATCGGGACAAGAATTTCAGGGGGTACTTCTACTTATGTACTTACTACATTTAATATAATATTGCATTTACCGAGAAGAATTTCCACACAGCATAGTTAGTTGCAAGACGTATTAAATACGGTAATTCTGCATCGATAATTGCACCTAAGAGCCACACCTTTCAACAGTGAAGGTCTCTTAGAACGACGTTAAATGAAGAGGCTGTAATTGAAGACTGTATTCCGTAATTTATGATCTAGGCAAATTTTTATGCGGCAAAGAATGTACTCAATGAATCTGATGATATCGTGTATATGAAGTGGAAGGAGAAAGAATGGTAAATGTTTAGCCTCGTTTCATGCTTCATGATTCTGGCAACATTTATCACTTCATAAAGGTGTGTACAATTTAGATGTCAAAACTTTGGGATAAAAATAGGAGAGTAATAAACCATGAGAAAACTCTTATGAGTATTTGCTCGGTCTTGCTTCCTTTTAAAGAAAATTAAAAAAAAAATTAGCAAACCAAGTCATTTTTTGCTTCCTTGATATAGGAAATATTTAAAATATCAATCTTTTGCCCTTGTACAAGCATTGCACTTAGCAATGGCAGTGCGCATAACAGCTAAACATTGTTTCGGTGATATCCACTACAAATCACCAAGACAAAATATTGGAATTATGGATAATTTCTGCATAAGATAAGCGAAAAATTTGAAAAAAAAAATGACTCATTTTCTTGGTTTGGTAGTACTTTTTTCGCTTTCTCTGAAAGGAGGCAAAAATTCCTAAAAGACTTTTCCGTTGCTTTACGTACTCCAAGTTTTAATATTTAAATAGGACACACCTTAGAAAAGTACACCCTCGTTAACACGAATTAAATTCTTATCCCAGTGAACGTAATACACGGGTAAAGTATGAGCTGATTATTGTACAAAATTATAATCGAGAGTACGTGTGATTTTCATTATAATGAAATGATTACATCACCGAAATACGGGATACGGTGGAAAGGTAATGTCAGGACATACGAATCGTTCACTTTCTACAGTGAGACACGTCAGGAAGAATTGGCAGGGAAAAACGCAATGTCTATAAGGTAACTAGAAATCAAGTGAAAAACCCACCTAGCAAAGAAAGTAAATATTTTCCAGCAGGAATCCCGACTTGCCAAGAAGCGAACCCTCATGGCGGAAGCTGTCGATCGCTTAGAAAACCTGCCCCAACCATGGCATATGAACAGAGAAAGTCTTCGGCATATAATTTTCATGGTGATAATTTATACACTGTACATGTAGTACACGAATATTGTCCAGAATTTATGAAAACATCGGTATAATTTCTATTACTTTGCGTTTCCCTGTATATGCGTTAAATTAAGGCGCAAATTCTAAATCTCTACGAAAGTGCTATAATTTCACATGAAATCTTTCCCTTCATTTCATATTGGCTTTCTCATTTCTTTCGATAATCCCCGTGACCAATTTATTAGTTAGAACATAGTATGTATTTTTTAAACCAACATCGGATCGCTATCACTATACATGATCCTAAACGACACATTGGGTTGATGCATATGTAATGGCGATTTTAGCACGTAATGTAACGTGTAAAAAAAAACACCATTACTCTATGCATCGACCCAATATATTAGTACTCATTTTTATTTTTAGACGTTGCGATATCATTCACGGGGAGTGTATTAGAAATTAAGATTGCTATCACGAAGTTCTCTCAAATGTTCACCGCAATTAAAGTGATTATTTATATCACGTGACTGATATCAGTCGCATTTCTTTGAATTACTTGTCACGTAATATTCTATTAATATTTTCGTTATTAAGTACATTTCATAACATGACAGTTTGGCTAATTATTTATAATGAAATAAAACAACGAACAAAATTATTTAATATATCTATCTTAATTGATCAAATTAAAACTTCAAAGGTTAGATTCGTTGTTTGAAATAGACGGATCATTGAATTATCGACAACAACCACCTAATACTCTTCAGATTGTTTTTCGACACAACTAGTAACTCTAGCTACTTAGATATGTCTATATATATTTCTAGTCTATTAAGTGTGAAATTATTTCTTGCTACCTTGGTTTATAACCGCACCCAAGTTACGAGTACCTGTGGCTTACTTTCGCCATGAAAATGGAGAAATTTGTATCGCCGTAAAAAAAATAACTTTCACGGTTTCTTTTGAAGTAACGAAGCCAAAATTTGACACGCAAAAAATTCAAGGATAATTTATAGCATACTTCGCGTTTATAAAAGGTAGCAAAATTACCGCTACCAATGGCTGCAGATTATCCGGTAGAGTACTGTCGTTCCTGCCTTTCATTATGTTAATGCGCATTACATCGTTATAACTCATTATTTAATCCGCTATCTGAACAGGACATTTCAGAGCAACAGCTGTGATATTAATTTGTTGTAGAAAAATATCATAGCATCGACATGAAAAAAAAAACAAATTATTTTGATATCACGAACCATGTCGGAGGAATTTATAATTAATTTAAAAACTATCGATTTCACTGTGCCTTTAAAAATTATGGCGGTGAACTCGTCTTCCAAAATATTTCCCTCTTTTCCTTGTATACAGTGAACTCATGACAATAAGAATTTGTGTCAACGGAAAGTGTACTGATATCAATCGACATTTACCGGAATTATTTCCAGCAACTCTTCTAGAAACCATGAGATAAATTTAAAAAGTTTACCGAAAACAAACACGACGAGACCAATACGGTCAAAAGACGTTCTACATAAGCGAATTTCTGCTCTGTACATACTCATATACACTTATACATGACACACGAAAAATCTGATACAATTTTGCACCATTTCTTAAAAATTTGCATGTTTTACATTTCATGATTAGGACAATATATGCAAACCGCATGCATACGTACAATTAAAATTCATACATTTTTCGATAAGAGAATTGTTCTTTGTATGCAGACAAATCCAATATAAATCAATTTTACGTAAGTTTAATTTATCCGAGTAAAATTGTATTTTCAGATTTATATGCTACGTCCATTCTTTCGATTCCAATCATTATTATTCTTCCCAAACAAATTATTCCTCTTCTTTTATCTAAAACTCATTGCTCTGTATAATAAATTACTGATAAATTACTAATAATAAATTACTGTAAGCTAAGTAAAGGAATAATAATACACATTTTGTTCCTGTACGCATAAACTTATTAGAAAGTAAGTCTAACCTGAAAATATGAACGTAGTTCACATATTTAACCAACTTTCATACCCCAGAGCATAAAACCATAACTATCATTACTAACATTATAAAATAAAAAAAAAAATCAGAGGAACTTAATTTGTAGGCTGAAGGGCAATCATTGCACTTGATAGAGCACTGTTAAAAACAAGACATATAAAATTTATAAAGAAAACATTACAGTTAGCAGTAACTCTGAAAGTGTGTTGTATATAGTAGTATATGCCTGAAGAGGGTACAGGAAAATAAACTCCTCATTTGAATGAAATAAATAATGAAATATCATCGTATGGTACCACGAACGACCTACATCACGAATCTTCCAGAGTCACGCTTGGAAAATGCGAAATAAACTACAAAATGTAAGCGCGTGGTTTTTCAATTGCAAAACACAAGCAACAGGTACGTACAGTACGCGTCATATAAATTCGGTTGAAGTACTGACTCACCGCGATGGTTTTTGCATTCCGGATGGTTTCCCGTCTTCGCACTCGCGTTTGATAATCATTCAAACCTCGTAAATAATTATGTTCCTTGTCTACATCACTATTTGACTTGCCTAATGTTTTGATACTTTTCCTACGCGGCGCCATTTTGGATATTTACGGCATCTCGGGAAGCCGGTAATATAGAAAATGGAACAGTGCTTCCATCTACTGGAGTTTCACTGAACGAAAAACTAAATTATCTTTTTACGAATATTCTGAAAGATACGTTCTTTTAACTTGAAAAAACCAGAGATGAGTTGGGAGATTGCTCACGGGCAGGGTCGCGTGATCGCATCCTGGTTTCGTACATTCAAGAGCCTATTAATTTAAAACTCTGCATATCAAAACACAAACATACATTTCTAAGAATTTGGGAGTACAGAAGAATGGAAATCTATCGGAATGCATAGAAAAAATTGTAGGAGCTTTTGAATAAGTGGGAAGCAAATGACACTGAACACGAAACGCGAGTTTGTAATAAGTGTGAAAAACATTAGAAATCATCATCATCATTTGCAATTAAATAGCATACAAATACCTACTTAATGCCAAGATTCCATCATAATAATAGTATCATTTTTCAATCTTGATGTTTGAAAATCTATAGTATATTTGATGGGCAAACAAGCTTTAAAAAAGTGATACATCAATTGCTAGTATCAAGTAATATTAAATGAAGTTTAACATATTTAAATTTGGGGAATTCCTTTCATTTCTTATCCTTATCTTTTTCCTTTTCTTTATCTTTCTCCTGTCCTTTGTCTTTATTTTGTTGTAGGGAACCAACTGCTTGACGGACAGCCTCAGAATGTGGATCTACACCAGGCAAATTTTCTAAAACTGATTGGAGGAATGCGGGGTCGGACATTACAGCTGCATAATCTTCTTCTACTTCCATTGCTTCTTCTTTCTGTGTTTCGGGCTCTTCTGCAAAGAGATGACAAATCCATTTTATAGTAACACAAATATCCAACTCTAGGAGCATTAAGATGTTCTTTAAATTATAAAGTAATACTATAAAATCGAAACCATAAGTTTACTCAATTTTACATAACTTGTTGATTAAAGGTATTGAAAGACTAAAATGACTTATGAATCATATAATTACGGACTGTCGTTTATCTTAAGTATTTGAAAATGTCTTACGTTGATCTTGCATTGACATCTGCATAGCGAAAGCTATTTGTTCTTCCTCGGTCATATGGGCAAAATCTGGTACATTTCCACCACTCGTTGTAGTATTATCCGCACTGGCAGTGGATTCCTCACCTCCCTCCAAGGACATTGCAAGAGCACGCTTTAACATGTCCTCCTCGTTTTGCGCTTCCTTGATAGTTTCTGGTTGCTTATTTGTAGCGGAGTCAGTTGCCTGAGCTCTTCTAGCTTCATCTTCCTGTCTTTGTCTTTGTTCCTCCATAGAAACTCGAAGAGCCTGTAACAAAATGTGTTCAATGTTTGTTATTGTTCTTTTCTTTTCTTTGTGTTATATATTTAATATGATATTAAATCATGTTTTAAATTTTAGGCCAATCAAATTTTGTTCAGAAAAATTTGATTATAAAATTGCGAATCTTCTTTTAAACCATCGCTTGACCCTACTCTTTGTTATATTTTACTTATGAATTTACTTTATTCTTTTATATGACCCATACTCCTATCACGAATTTTCTATTCCCCATAGAAAACTGTTTAGTACATTTGTAAAAAACTAATTAATGCATTTGTAAATATTACTTAAAAAATGGGAAGATGAACTTACCAAAGCTAATTCAGGATCTTCATTAGGATCAACTCCAAAGTCGAAAGCTGCTCCACTCATACCAGCACCACCCATTCCATCTTCACCCAAAATTATTGGCGAAGAGATCAATGAATCTGATAAATGTGGTCCTGGCGGTACAGTTACAAGATGACTGCTGGTACCATCCTTTCCGTTAAGTGCATTGATGAATGCAGTTAGTACTTCATTATTGATACTCTCTTCCCCGAAGCTGATGATGTCCACGTTGACTTTTTCCTTTTTCAATCGCTTCGCTAACTTAACCAATTCCTTCTCATCAATTTGAATTGGACTTCCCACAAATGCCACTATACGCATTTTGTGATTCTTCCCTTGACGATGCTTTAAAGCAAGCTGGGTTAAAATATAAAACATGATTATTATATATTACATTTTACCACTATTCTGTATGTTTATTTAAGCTGGAACGAACTTGTTATTGATCTTTATATATTACTCATGAAATGTTACACAGACAGTTTTTAAACATTTTTCACTGAGCAGTGTTCTGTAAATAACAATATTACTTCATAGAAGCTTCTTATGCACTGTTTAGCCCTAAAGTAATTAAGTTAAACCACATAAGTCTTGATTTGTGATTTAATTCTTCACTGTACGTAGCTTTACCTTGCAACACTTATAAGACAACTTTGACCATCTGCTACGTTGAAATTAAAACTGTTTATAACTTATTTCATGAATACATTTAATCTCAAATAATATTTTTGAAACATCTAAAATGTAAAATTAAATGCTTACATGAGCAATTCGAATCCCAGTGATAAAGCATAAATTCCCATTAGGTTGAACCCGATGAAGCTTGGACAGGATGCGTCCAACATCGCTTGTGAGAGTAGCCAGTACTTCCACACTGATTTAAAAATAAATAGAATATATTAGTTGATTAGATGTGGTTTTTTTTCTTTGTTAAAATTTGGTTAGAAAACATACTGATATTAAATAATAATTGCAATTAAAACTAAATAAATAAAATACATTTGAAAAGTATATATAAGATGTTACAATTTAAAACATGTCGAGAACTTACTTTGCAAGAGTAATGAGTCCTACATTATTCTCCGGATTAGATCGAGTTTTTGAATGACAAACTAGATTAACAGCATCTTGCTGAGCTTGAAGCCGAGTTGGTAAGAAATCTCCATTTCTCATATAGTCGCTGTTATCGACACTGTAAATGGCATACAGTTATTTAATATAAAGTTAAGAAAACCAAAAACATCATGAAGATATGTTAATAATTTACATATTCAGAAAATGCATATTCTTAGCAGTACACACAAGCAAAACTGAACATAAATTCTATCAGATTGCAATGCCTGGAATATCATGAATACATGTCCGACGGAAGTAAAGGAAGAACGTTACTCTACAAAACATTATGAGGTATTTATTCGCTATTAACTTAAAGAAATTCGTTAAATGATTACAAACATAATGTAAAGATTTTTAAGGTTTTATGTGACTTTTCATGTACGCATTTAATATATATACGTACAAAGATGTACTTCCGTAAAGAGGTTAGGTTACTAACGACTTATTCCTTTCCAACATTTCCTTTAAAAGTGAATATTAAGTTCAGCATAAAATGCATTAATACCAGTCCTGGAAGTATGTACTACCGAAAATCACGTATTTGTTGAAAAAGCTTTTTCATTGATTCGAACGCACTCAACTTTGCATTGTCACTCTAGCCTTCCAATGCTAGTGCAGGTATTAACTTTAATTTCGTTCAAATTTTTTCGAAATAACATTCCCACGAATTAGTTAATTATTCTCATTGATGCTCCGTAAGAAAGAAGTATGTTTAAATGAAAAAGGGGCGTTAAAATGTGTAAAAATTTACGAGGACTCACCATATCATAGTACTTTCCAGCACCATCTTGGACGTACTGAAGATCACCGTTTCACATTCGTTCCAAATCCCCCTGTTCCGCTCCGTTCTATTCTGAGCTACACAAACGGCGGGATAATACAAAATATAAACCGAAACTAATCTATCGTTTATAATGTACTAATGTAAAACTGCTGAAAAGATACTGTCCAGTAATGAAATAATTACGTTTAATTCAGCAGCTTTCGCAGAGAACATTCATTTGTTCCTTACATTATGAAGAATTATGCGAAAACCAGTTCGTAACTTCAAGTTTTTAGAGTATTTTATCCCATAAAATGTTATATTCCCCATAAGGTAATGAAATGCGTATACCTTGCTTTCTCTTTATATATCAAAGATGTCATGGAAAAACGAAATTATGGTACATAAGTCATGTAAAGGATTCAGTAATTCCAGTTCCTTACTTTCCATTACACATACACCTTTTTAGTTAAACATATCACCGGCGCTGAACACATAATTAAAATCTATGACTACATTTGTAGTAATGATAAAAATATATTCCTTTGAAACTTTTAACAAATTGTCACACATATAGGCAGAGGCGCTGGAATACCGCTACAATGTGTACATATACTTAAAAAATCTATATCGATCGCTGTTAATTACTCATGAATAATAACATCGTCTATAATAAAAGAATGGCATTATTCAAGAGACATCCATAATTGAAATATTCCTCTAACATTAGGAAATCGTACAATTACAAAATATGAAATTGTGATTCGCGTGACTATTTTGAAATAAAGACTTTTAAACATTAACAGTAATTATAAAAATAACTTTTGATTTTTCGAGGAAGTCTTCGCTGCTTACATTGACATAGAAATACTTACATGAAATAGTATAATATAGTTATAAAAAGTACGACATTAAAATCAACGCCATTTATAATCGATTTAGTAAGCTCAAACCTCTTGGTATTAACACTAGAACTACCGGCAGATTTTTTTGTATAGTATGAGCCATTTGAAACAAGTCATTTCGATCCGTCTTGGCAGTTCTAGTGTTAATTATTTCAACAATTTGTAAATCCCAGTCTTAATATGGCGATTGTTAAGGTACATTAGGTGGTTTAGACCCGGATTAACATTAATTTTCTTGTACTGACAGTAAGTTGCGTAGTAGACGAGATCTATTTTGTGCATCGATTGGTCTCTTATTCTATATCGATTATATAAATCGGTTAAAAAGACCTGGACGCACAGAACTCTGTATCTATAGCATATTTGTGCATATGCCTGTTGCAAGTGACTAATTAAAACATAGGTAGAGAACAAAATACGTCTTGAAGGTGTAATTTACGACGTTGAAACTGTGTGGTAACCGGGTGGTGGTGTAGATCTCGTAGATGCCCTGCTGGATATTCTTTTGAACCAGGAATCACTACTTCTCGGTGAATCCGCAGACGGTATTGATTGCTGCTGTTAACAAATATTTACGACAACGTACAGACCATAAAGTAAATAAAATTCAGCGGTAGACTACTTTTATACGATTTCGTTATACTATTTAAAACGCAGGGTGATTGAAATTCAAGTTACAATATAGGAGAGTCGCCAATTACAAGTAATAGAACGTCGATTAAAAGGCAAAGCTAATTTTGCTTCCTGTTAATAGTGTGTAAGAGATATTTCAATTCTTTTAGATGGTTCATTTGAAATTTAAAGAAAATGGAAAGTAACCATTATCACCATCTTTTTACAGATTATCAATCAGGATCAAGTTTTACAAAATTTTCCTCCATGTAACCGATTTTATGTCTCCTATCTGAGATTTCCACGTTGGAACTCGAATTCCAATCACTCCGTATAATTAAAACCTGTCTATGAACGGTGGCTGGAACCCATTCGCCCACTGCATTTTCTCTCCGGTGAACTGCTCTTCTGTGTTGCCACCACAAAAACAGGTGAGCTATTGCTGCACTGAGTAACAGCAAAGGCAGTAGGATGCAGAGCAAGATCGTTGCATTTCGAATGCCGAATAGTAAAGCAATTCCGGCACCTGCTACTACTACTATGAGTAGCGCTGCAGCCACCAGACCAGTGCGATATATCCCATATCTGCGTTCTAAAACATTAATTATATTCCATAAAAATTACAACATTCATTGTTGCATAGATTGCATGTCTAACTACATTCTATTTCTACTGGATGTTTTGCAGTAGGTACATTGATAAACATGGCTTGAATCACGATAAAAATGTTATTAACGAATATTCTATGAAAATTTATCTACGGTCAACAAGTTTTACGCACGACCTGGAAAATAATTGTCCATCTCAGAGTAGATATACGGGAAAGGGTCTCCCTTGACCAATCAGCTTTCACATAATCGTTTTTCGAGTGAAAGGGTCGCGCATAAATAATGCCGACATTCGACAAATTCAATTACTAGAAGAAGTCCTTTATTTAAAATAAATTCCCTCAAAATTAACTAAACATTGTTTCAAGTGGATGGAACAACGAGTTCACTGATAACTGTCGGAAATTTCAGAAGGATCATCAGGTATACTGGCAATTCTATTAAACGTTAATTTGTTTGAACGTCATTAATTCATCCAGTCTTTCGCCTCTTTTAAGCGAATCAATCTTTCGTCCTAACACATTTACGTACAGAAAACGTGACCCTAGTTAATTATACAGCCTCGTATATCTAAACTTATGAAAAGTGAGTACCGTTTGTAATTTGCCTTTATTTAACCCCTTGCGGACGAGCGTTAGGAGATAGCAGTCCAAAAGCCTTTACAAAGGAAAAGTCTCGTCGGTAAAGGGTTAATTTGACCTTATTACGTGACAGGAGCCAGGAAAGATCCCTTCTACCCAAAAATATCTTCTTTTCCAGAGAGTAATTTTTTCATTCGGTGTACCGAGACCGAGAGCGAGAGTGAACGAAAGTCGTGCGCGAGGAGGACAGGACCACTGTCACTTTACACCGAGATTAAGAGCGAAAGTGAAGGAGAATCGTACACGAGTTGGACCGTGTACGTACCGTCACAATCGCTTCTACATCGGGACCTCCCCCCACCGTCCGAAGCCACATACGAAACGCGTACAAACGTACATGCAAACGCACATACAAATGCATCCACGCAACCTTTACACACTTCTCCGCTTTCTCGAGCGCTCGTACCTGAGCGAGTGGATGGTGCGCCGATTTTTCAGACCAAATCGCACTCGTTCGCCTCCGCGACACCAGACGCGGATTCTCTGATCGCGAATTATGTCGAAGTCGCGAACTAACGAGAGAATTGGCAAAATCGTGGCTCACGGCGAGTACAATTTCCAAATTACTCACCGCTGGTCAGTGGAGCCGCCTCGGTCCTGTCCATATCTCAGCGCGACGCCGCCCGGCCTGCCATCTCTCGGCGGCGATCCGAACTAAACGGCGGTCGCGTAGCTGGCTCTCGACCTTGGCTCGAGGAGGAAGGACCGCGTCGCCGCGGGCCACTCGGCTCTCGTCCGACCGAACACCGCCGAGCTTCCAAACTAGGCCGTGACGAGACTCGCGCACTCCAGTTAAGTCGTCCAGAACGTTATCACGGGCACGAAGTCGGATAAGGAGACTAGAAATTCAAGTGGCGATCAATCGATCGCCGAGATTCGATCATGCGATCGGATAGTTTTTATGAGATCCTCGGGGTCGATTTAGGAGGGACATGTTTCAGGGATTTCCGATTTAGGGGCAGGAACCCCGTCGAAATCGCGGGAGGTTGGTTTCGTAACATAGTAATGTAGAAATTAATACAACGCCATGTATTGAAATCGTCCCCATATTAGGGGTTCAAGATCTTCAGATCTTTTCCGATCTAGGGCCGAAAGAGCCCAGGTTAACATTTAAAATTAATCTTTAGAATACAGAGCAGGGGTAATTTTTTTTCTTTCTCCTCAATATATTCGAAATTAATTGCTAATACCAGAAAATACATGTTAACATTATTTGCAATACCTTCGAATCTCAGATATAAGAAAATGTTTCAAACAGGATTTCAGACAAGCGTGTCTTTATTTTACATTTCTCACAACACCGTTTCGTTGCGCAATATTTCATTACAATATAAATATAGAATATTATACTTATTATCTTTTAGCTCACACATTACATACGTCGTCTTATAAATTTCCATGGTTGTTCCTTATCGTGAAATTCCTTATTTACATACGCGATCGGAGATTTTTGCTAATTAAGAATTCGTTTGCATTATCAATCAATCGCCAGCGCAATATCACGTCAAAGAGGTAATAATATTCGCATCGTTTAAAAGGCATAAACATGGAAAACAGAATCCTCCAGGGTAATGCAATTGGAGAGCAAATTATAAACATATTTGAGAGGTTTTATAGATGCGGTTCGACATATTGTGCGAGTCAATTCCCAGTCAATTAATCATAATTGTCAGTCGAGACCTTCCTGGGTCAGCCAATTATCGGACCCCCTTGAGTCTGAAACGCTTTGAGTGCTAAGTTTGTAATGGACGGAGAGAATTCCTCGTAAATTACTTAAAACTATTCGAGTACTTAAGCGTTTACACGTGCATGTACATACATTGACCACCTGGAAACTTATTTCCTAGAATCGAGACACGCTAATAAAAAGGAACCATTAAGACGAAAGTGTTCCGAGGAACCGCTCGTTAAGCATTTACATTTCGCCTAATATCATTAAAAGCAATAAGTCATCGCTCAATGAATAACTCAAACAAATATGATCAAAAGACGATAAAGTGGTTTTTACAAGAGTCTTTAGTACGTAACAGTCTTGAATGTTTCGATCAGTTGGTTTCATATTAAATCATTACTCCAGTGTTGCGATGCTTTGAGAAACTGCATCACTCTGTACATTGCAATTCCTAATGTTTATATAACAATGAAGAGTGTTTATTGTCGCTATGCTAAAACAGCGTAAAATTGGCCACACATACATCTGACACAAAATGTTGGCATTGGTGAAAAGTGTTTCGTAAAAAATGTTACGGTTAATTATCTATATCTGATCTAATGGATGTTTATTTAACATCCGACGCGATATCGCTTAACGAGGGGAAAAGTAAGACCTATTAAAATTGTGCTAAGCAATTAAAATAAGTTACAGCATTCGTTAAATTATTTTTACGTCACAACTCATGTCATGTTATGTATTACTGATATTTGAAGAACACATACACATGTAATGTTCTGCATTTCTTTGTATTGAGTTCTAAGTTCTTGAAATGATTAGCCGTAGGAAAGACTTCTTTTCGGATTTTTCATGTCTTTAAAATCTTTTCAAGCGAACCTGAATCTAGCGAATATAAAAACTACCGCCTTAATATTTATAGCGTACTCTACATTTTTTTCGATTTCATTTAGCAGGTTTAAAAGTCTATTCTAAAACATGACTGTACATTTCCAGTGTACGGTCTGACGCATCTTTATCGATAACGAGGTCGCGATTAAAGACGAGGAAAGGAAATTGCCGTTCGATTTATGTTCATTGCGTGCACTTCTGGCGAAATCATGCAAGTGACAAAAAAGATCAGAAGTCGATCACAAAGTCACCCTAGACTTGGCTTCACAAAGATCCCAAGCAAAAAGAACCTGAACTGGTTCAAGGATTCATAAATTCAAGGTCACAGATCTTGAAACTGTCTATTACGGTTGATTGCTTGCAGGTTAACGGAATATCGTTCTCCTTTGACAGCTTGAGAAATACGATTTCTTGAGACGATTAGCAGTCATTAATCCGAAGATTAAGGACATTAATCTTACGATAGTCATGATTCAACCTACAGCTACTACTTCAGCTGTAGCTTCGTAACTTGGATACTTCCATTACCTACGAATATTTTTCGTCTCCGAATATTGAAACAGGTACAAACATAAAGCGTTCAGTTACGTTTATGGAGGTTCGAAGTCATAATGCATACGATCATTGGAGGTTTAAAGCTATATTATGTATGTATCTTTACAGGTACCCACCCCGCGAGAAGAGGTGGAAGCATTTCAAGAATTATATTGAAATATTTGCAACATTTATAGTTAGTCTATCAGGGTCTTCTGATCATAAGCCGACAGAAATGATCGTCTACTTAGGAAAACAACAATTCATAAGAAACTAACAGTTTCATCCTTTTTGCTTAGAGAATATTCATTTCCGTCATAGGCCATTTGATCTTCAATTTTATAGTTGATATGAAAGGAGCGTCCGAGAAGTTTGGTATAGAACCGTTTGACATTTCATCATACGAATACGGCGACTCTAAGGAAAGCATTCTGATACACTTTAAATTTCATTTTTAAAAATTTGTTCATAAGCATTAACAAATTTGTTTCTATAAAGAATGAAATTTTTGGGTGGTTTGGTATCGAACCGCTTGACATTTCATCACACGAATACGGCGACTCTAAGGAAAGCTTTCTGATACACTAAAATGTCATTTTTAAAAATTTGTTCATAAGCATTAAAAAATTTATTTCTATAAATAATGAAATTTCGTCAGAACCTTCCTCGGAGCCTTCTTAATTACATGGTAAAATGTCAAACAACTCGGTACACCCAGTTCGGAGAAAAGCTCCATAAACGATTCACTCCTCAGACGTCACTTTCGCATCATCTCGACATCACGAAAATGATAACTGAAAGGGTAATCCCAACATGACAACTGAAAGTCTTGTCCATTAAGAGCCTCTGTTCTATAAGAGGACGAAAGATCGTGTAAATTGAACAAGTACAACGACCTCTTCGTTACTCATTACGCTTACTCGGTAACGATGGTGGGTACAAAATTATAGCGACTATATCCACAGCGACGATATTAACCCTTATCACTCCAACCGGCAGTAACAATGCCAACTTCTTATACTCTTCTAATATTCTTGGAGTGATAAAGGTTAGCTGCAGATGTAATATCATTGGTGATTCGCGATTCTCGCGTTTCTTTGTATGAAAAACAGGTACGAGTTAAATACTAGACGAGCTGTGCTCTTGGAGGTGTTGGCCCCGGAGAAGGTGGAGGAGGTGGTCCAAGGATGGTGTTCAGGCTTAAGGTGGAGTACCTAGGTGCCTCGTCCATCAAGGTAGCCTGCTCGTAGGTGGGTGGAGGATCGTCCTGGCCGGACAATTTTAGAAACCTCCTCTCCTGGCGCCTTTCGTCTAAGGCCCTCAAAATTATGACAGCCGGTCCCAGGATTAGCATAACTGCACCTACGGCCACCATGGCAACTGCAGCTGCAGCACCTCCTCCGGTAAGATGCGACAACCTGTGCTTCCTGCGATGCTCCCACGTGGTTTCTCTCCTTCTCGTGTCCAGCACAGGTGCAGATTCCGTTGTGACGTTCCGTTGTTCTTCGACCTCGGCAGCATATATCCTCAATCGGTCCCTACGCCATGGCATTTGATCGGGCGTCAATGCATTGTCCTTAATTCCCGCAGAATTAAATTTACTCCCAGCATTCCTGCTGGCCGAATTATCTTGCAAAGAATTAAGCAATTCGGTGATGTTTATCGGGCGAATCTCTTGAGACGTCTTACGCTCAGGGTTTTCTTTAAAAGATCCTTCCGTTGTCTCTTGAATTTCTTCGTTAATCCTCATCTTAGGTATCGACTTAGGTCCGTAAACCTCTTCGAGGTTCATCCTTTTGCTCTCGCGGAGGACGTCGACTTCGCTATTGAGATTTCGGTTCTTGCTCGATTTCTCATAATCATTCGAGAAATCTGTCTCCATTTTCGGATCTTCGTTTTTCTCGCCTTTCCCTTCGTCGTTAACTATTCTTGGCTCCGTTTTAAACATCTTATCTTCTATCTGTAACATGCGAGAGTCTCTGGATTCCTGGAGGCTCTTCAAACTCTTCTCAGCAAACTCCACTGCCCAGCTGTGAGATTCGGTTCCGACGCCTTCGTTTGGAACATCGTTTTTCCAAATCACTTTTTCACTGTTCGGTGGTGGATTCCCGTTGTTTGGTGTATTTTTTGACTCTTCTTGTAATGGTATTACGGACAACTCATTTGGCACCGTTGTTTCTAGGTCTGCCTCGGGCATGCCGAATGCCACTTTACTTCCTGAGACTATCTGCACAAAAAATTCATAATACGATTTCATAACTGTCGATACAACGATATACAATATCAATGTTGATATACAAGAATAAAAAGAACATTAATCCACTCGTTAAAACCATAGTTATTTTACATTTTAAGTGGCAAATATTTTGTATGGTGAATATATTGACAAAGCATAACGACGAAAGGAACTCACTGAAATATTAATTTTTACACACCAAATGTTGTATCTTGAACTTTATTAATTTGAATTCAAACTCTCTGTTGCTAGAAAAGAATATTGCGATTGTAAATAGAATTTGTGTTGCCTCAGGGAAGTAATCGTTGTTGTCGATATAGTAAAAGTGTTTCTGGACAAAAATTTTACTAGTCCACTTTTCAAGTGTCCACATTTTATGAATATTTTATTTTATCATTTTTTTTTTTAATTTATAACGCGTCGATTGACTTACCTGAACTTGGGTATAGTTCTTCATATCCACCTTTTGAAGAGAAGTTACACCCTTTTGAAGGAGTACGATGCCAACCGCACTCCACGCGGCCAGCTGTAAAACTACGACAGCTCTCGAGGCCCATTTGTTGGCACCGGCTGTCATTGGCATCGTGAAGAAACATCAAGCGACGTAGTTAATATTATTTGCTGCTACGTTAAGCAAATAATTCCATACGCCGCTTAGGTTGTACCATTCTTCAATTCTTATTCCGGAATCCTTCCTTTACGGATCTTCCCCCTTTGAAGATGAGGCATTGGAATACTGGCTCCGAATTCAAAGGCCTGGAAAAATAGAATTTGTTAATTTTAAGGATATTTAAAAATTAACGTATAATAATTAATTACAGTATACTGAAGACTAATAAATAATTAAGAATACACAGATGAGGAGTGTATTTTACGGGGTGGAAGTATGGGAGAGGAAACATTGAAAAGGAATAGCAGAAGTCGAAATAAAATGTATGAAATGGGAATTGGAGGCTATACTCAGGAAAAAAATTTCATTAAAGCAAAGAAACGTTTGTTTGGTTCAATGAAATTTCTTTTCCCGGTGTAGGTAGCTTTAGACAGTTCTAAGTTATAATTTACGCATAGTTGGGGAAGCGATGAAAGAAGATAGATCGGCCGCAGAAGCAGGAAGAACTGCATTGATGTAAGATGACAAAATGAGGAGAAGTTGCGAAGAAGTGTTCGAGAAAGTATTAAGACAGAAAATAGGAACGGAGTAGGCGATAAAGTGAAGAAATTCGATGGCGATTGACAGGGAAAGGAGGGGTAGGCTTGTGGTAGGAAAGATGAAAGTTTGGAAAGACGAGGAGAGAATGGAGTCGGTAGTAAGTTATCAACGGAGGATGAGTGAGATTGAATACCGACGAGGTAGAAGAAGGAGAAGAAAGTAAGCCAGGGAAAGAACAGGACGTCGAAGCGCTGGCGCGACCTATGTTATCCTACCTAATTTAAATGTCAAAACTTTGAGAACGAACTGATAAACCGAGAGAAAACTCTTATAGGAACTTTCGCGTTTTTGCTTTCTTTTAGAGAAAATTGCAGAGAAACTAGCGAACCCAGAAGTTGCCGTTTTTCGATGCCTGATGCAGAAATTGATAAAATTGTCGACCTCTTGCAAGGATTCACGCAGTGCTTTATCAGTGCTTGCTTTATTGCATCTAACAGTGGTAGGGCGTGGGGTAACTAGATTCTAGTGATATTTTCTGCTAGGATGGCAACATAAGAAGACGATTCCTAAACGAGAAAGTGCAGTCCAGGGCCATTACGGCAATGTACAGCATATCATTAGAGCACGGTCTACCTGCAACGTCCATTGTCACTGTTAGGTGTAATACTTGTACTAATGTAAAAAGTCGACATTTTGAACTATTCTTGTCTTAGGTGTGCACAAAATGGCAACTTTTTGGTTTGCCAGTTTTTTGTGAATTTCTCTAGAAGGAAACACAAACGAATTAATTATTAGGGAGTTTACTTTTAGTTTATCACTCTCCCACTCGTTCCCAAAGTAAATTATCCAGTGTAGCGTTAATAACATGGGATTTGAAAAACAGGCACAATACATTCTACAATTGAAAAATGTAGAAAATAAATACATGTTCTACCCTTTACATCATTTCTTTTTTGGCCATTTCTTGGAGTCGGAATCAAAAATGAAATCAAATGAATAAAGATATTTAGGTTCGCAAGCATAAATATACTGTAAAGATTAGTTGATGTATTAAAGTGGGTATAATAATGATGGGCCAACGATATTATAATAGAAGATTATTTACTGTGGTATCAGCAAGATAGCTATTCTATGCATATTGTGCGTGTTGCACGCGAAGTCATGGATGAAATATTTTCACATTGCAAAATCGGAAGGGGAGGGTGCATCCGTTCTCTGGCATGACCTTTCGCTTTAAATCCTTCATTTCTTTTCATAAAGTGCTGGGAAAAAAATGGTTATAAAGACGTACACGGAAAAAAAAGACCTTACCCTAAATCCGTCGTGCGTAAGGCTGTGTCACAAATCCAGATCATTTTTAGCGCTCGAAATTGCAAATGTTTCGCTGTGAAATACTCTAAGCTGTGAAATAGCTGCGTAATTGCACTAACGGCAAAAGGGTCTGCAATTGTATCGAAAGTTAATTTAATTAGAGATGAACTTCCTTCAGAAGAAATACTTGCTAATTTAGCAAATGAAATTGCAGCAGCAGTAGCTAAAAAGATGTTCTCGATACTCGATCGAACGAGCGATATACAGTTCAACAACAAATTGTATATCACTCATTTGTTTGGGTAGTGACAACAATATTCTTTGCCTGTTGCAACAAATTCATTTGCTAATTTGGTGCGATTATTCCCACGGTAAGAGCAAAACTTTATTAGCAATGCTGTACCTTGTTAAAAGTACAAATGTCTTCTTTTTCCGTGTAGTTAGACCAATATTAATCTGTTAGGACAATTAATTTAAAGATGAAATTTAAAAGAGAAGTTTATAATAATGCATCAGTGGTAGTGGCCATGCCTGCTCAATGAGAAACGGCGACTATACTGGTGTAATGAAATACACCTCTCGGAACAGTGAATCAACAGCTGAATGATAGTGGACTTGATAGCGCGAGAGTAATACTAGGTTTAATTGACAAGAGTTATAGTGTTCTCAATTGGACATCAATTTGATACCGAAGCAGCATTCGATGATCATGTCTTTCAAACGGATTTTCAACGTTTTATTCGTCATGTAACGCAATTTTACCGAAAAAATTAACGCGCGTTGAAAGTGAACTTTTCTTATTTTTATTCCACATTAAATATCAATAAAATTTCATTAAAAAAAAAACTTTTTTATTTTTATTCTACATTAAATATCAATAATTAACCGAGGCGAGTGAACTAACAATAGAAACGTTTACGTAGATTGTCTCAATGCTAAGAGTAAAAGATGAATATAAATAGTAACTAAATATAAAGAAATGCAATAAATAAATGTTTCATTTGTTTTTACGATCCTATTTCTTAACATGCGAACTTGTACGACAGGGACATCAAAAATTTCATTTAAAAAGAGTAAGAAAATCAGACATGAATACAGGCGGTATAGATCATAGAAAGCAATTTTTAACGGTAAATTACTAAAATTGCGCAATAAAAGTTATTTTGACGTAATCACAGGTTGAATAGATTCTGCAATAGAAAGGATCGAACGTTGAACGACTCGTAAACGTCTCTTCTTCGTAAACGGAATTTGAATGATAATGCTCAAAGCTGAACGTGCAATGACACCTTCGGTTGATTCTCGTTATTTCTGCACCTGCGCCCAGACGGAAGGATTCCTTTTTAAGAATAATGACAATTGCCGCTTGAATTTAAATCACTCGAAGAGAAAGGAGAGTCGCACGAGGCGGAAACAATCAACTTTAAAACAATCAAAGACGGTCCTCACTGACACACGTATTGTTGTCCGTTCCATTTCGATGACTCAACTTTAACAGTCTCTGCATGAAAACATTTCAGTCCAGGAAAATGTCCGCGTAGGATTTAATGTCCAGTACTTTTTGAGTATATATTTCCAGCAACACATGTTCACCCTCGCTTTACTACTTGTATTACCTGAGAATCAATTGTTGTGGCTATTTCTTTTTAGAAATCCTCGTATATCACAGTTTCAGATGACTGGTGCAGTCATGTCAGCCAATTAAAACCATAATTTCTACAAATTGTTAATAAAGCCTGAAGTAACTTTAAATGGGTAAAAAGTTTGTTTAAAAAATGCAAATTTGAAGGAAAAAAAGAAATTCCGCTGTTTTAACGCGAGTAGTACGTGACATACGATACTGAACTGTCGGCTTCTGAGAAGTCAAAGGCACTATTTCCTTCCAACAATTAAGGAGTAATTTACGGAATGAAACTTATATTCCGAGGTGGCTTTATTATACCGGCTTGAAGTAACCTGCGTACGCAATTACGTGCCATCTTTGCAGCTCCCACAAGGTATTTACAGACAATTCGTTATACACACGTACAGCGCAGCTGCGCAATTGTCTTTTCTATAGATTCAAACAAATTCAAGGTTTCTTTCCGAGTTACTTAATCGCAAATCTGGAGACAGATTTATTCTTTAATTGAGCCTCGCGAAATTAAAAGATCTTCCATCGCGGTTTCAAATGCCTAAAACATCAGCTTTCATATGTAGCCTTTAAGAATGATAAAAAATGTAGCTTTTGATACTATTTGACTTTAACGTAAGGCATAATATTATTTCATGATGGTTAACCTCCCCATATATATGCAAATGTATGGTACGTAAAAACATTTATTTATTAAACATGCTCTTAATTTAAGTACGTCATATTTTGAGGCTATGGGCATGATAAAGTGCAAAGATCTATGATTTGAGTTTTTTTTTTTATCGAGTAACAGATAATGTGATGGAAAATTTATCAGGTACTTGATGTTCAGGGTCAAACATTAAAAACATGCAAGCGGTTTGCATTTGTCACGGTTCTGTCTCCTGCAAAACAACAAAGTTTCTTTTTTATTTAAACCACAGCGATGTGACTTCGATAATTCATGCAAATTAGTTCAGCTTTTCATTTTGAAAGGATTTACCCATCGATAATGTGAACATTTTCACTTTATCAGCGCTTTTCAGTTATACACTATTCTAGTTAACTGATGACTTAGTTTCAAAGATAGCACATTTCAGTTTCACTGTATTTTGCCATTTGTTGTTAGAAAGACATTAAGTTGACGAAACAGACATTCTGAAATATTTCCAACCGAATTCTTTGTGGATTCGCAGTTAATTCTGACACGTTATTACCACGGCAGTGAAATGTAGAGACAAATGTCGAAACCCACGAGTGAATGGAGATATAGTTGTCACTTTCTACGAAATGACGCTCCACGATTGGTCTCACCGGGCTTGGTATTTTTAAATCACAGCACTAATTACCTTTTCGATAATATGAATTTAATTTTGCCACCAGATAACGACATTTTAAGTGGTGGCTAAATTTCCCAATACTTTCTGCATTATCAGGTATTTGACAGATACTGATAGTAAGGTGATACCAGTACTTATGTTACCTACAGTAGAAATACCCAGGATAGTGACGGACGTGCACGCAGAAAAATATTTGATTGAGTCTATATAAACGTTTTACTATTATACCTTAACCATAGAGTATAGTTATTACGTGGGCAACCGAATACTTGGTTGACATAACAAAACTCTTCTGATTCATTACATGAAATATCGCGTTACATAACAATAAATATTAAATTAATTTGATACCATTAACCAAAATATTTAGTCTATTGACTAATGTACCTTCTAAAGTTACCAAAACGATTTAACCACGACACTTTCATTGATCGAAGTAATCGAACGTAGCTAAATGAAATAAATTTCTGTTCACTCAACCAAAATTTTCTTCTGAAATGAACTGAAAGCAGTTCATCGGAATCAGAATCATACGATGTTATTTAATTTTACCAAATTTTTTGTCTGTGCGTGAATGCTTTTCGTCATCAGCGGGTGGCGGGAATGTTTACTATTAATGGTGGTATATTCCTAGTATGGTTCACTTCCAAGTTTCATAGGGAGAAAGATGCTTGCATTTTTGCAAATTTTCATTCATGTAAATTCTTGCATCAAGAAATTATATCCAGCTACGTTGGAATCAACCGAGGTTTCATAATTGCTACTTCGAATAGGAGCGAATAGATAGAAAACTAGCTTCATTCAGAACTAGTCGATCGCAAACTGGATTTCATTTTTTAACAGTGCCAGTTCGGTGTCCGAATGAGCTCGGATGCAAGCAATTGATACGATTACAGCCAGTGGATTCGATGACTCATATTTCAATTTCAATTTGCGGCTATATTTTAGTCTGTACACCAATACTTTCACCAACTATTTTGATAGCAGTTTTCTAAGTAGTTTTTTTCCATTAACACCAAGATTAATGAACGAAACACAGGAACGGGTTATTTACTTTTATTTTAAATTATCTCCTATATAAGAATAAAGTCTATTATAATCTCCTTCTATATTGATCGTTTTATAATATTTTTCATTCTAAGAATGTTTACGGAGATTTCTTGAATCTGGATAAACTAAACCATCCAAAGTATGTAACTCACAAATATTGTATTGAAATACAGCGATGATTTTCAGGGCACGGTATTAAAAATCATGGATTAGTATTTTATAATTTGTTCGAGACAATGTTAAATTACTTAACAGGTGATCAGTATTTCGGAGAAATGGGTTACGTGAATAATATTGACGTTAGAGAAATGTAGAGCTCCAAATTAATAAATGGGAGGAACTGGTACCCGTTCGTAAATGGGAATGGATAGGACAAAATTACTGTTGACTTCAATGCAACTTATTTTAATCTTCCAAATAATATAGACTCTACGCAGTAGATGTAGATATATTGTACACATTTTGCAACTTTGGAAAGAAGTATAAAAGTTAGCGCGGTCGAATTGATGAGGTTTGCAACATGTACAGAAACATGCCCAGCGTAATTTACTGGATACCGGTAGAGTTATTAGACTGTTATATATTTCCTAGTATTATTCATGAGAATAGTTCTTGTACCGATTCTTTGTCAGCAGCACGAAACGCTTTCTCGCATTCATACTGCAATTTCTTTACCTACAGATTTTCCTCAGGTACTCGGAGAATAAATGAAACCATTCCAGGAACTAATCGTTACACAAGAAATTCCCATTTCCGTCCGCCATTGTGAGAAGTAACAGCTTCTACGGTTTGAAAAATTCATTTTCAAGTTCTGTACATTTCCCGTCGAAGAATACCTAGAGAGCTATAGAAGGTTGATCTTTCTTATCCCCCTAATTGTCCCTTTCTTGGCGTTCATGCATTAACGAAAATAGCCATGGAAAATCGATTTTAAAGTTAAC